GCCAGCGCCTTCCACTCGCGCACGGCATCCTCCCAGCGCTCGGCCAGACCGTACGCGTTGGCCTTGGTGCGGCGCGCCTTGGTGTAGGAGGGGTCAAGGGCGATGGCCGCATCACAGTCGGTAATGGCCTCGTCGTACTCCTTGAGCTTGAGGCGGCACAGCGCACGGTTCTGCAGCAGCTTGGAGTTGATGCCGCGGTTGGCCGGGTCGATGCTCAGCGCGTCCGTGTACTTGTCAATGGCCGCCTGCCAGCGGCCTGCCTTGTACTCTTTGTTGCCCTCTTCCTTCATGCGGTCTAGCTTCTGGACGATGCGCAGCCACTTGATGGCATCCTTCATGTCCGGGTCCAGGTCAATGGCGCGGCGGAAGTGGCGCTCAGCCTGGGCGTTGTCGCCCTGCGAGTAGAGAGCGCGACCACGCAGGATAATAGCCTCCGGGTCCTTGTCGTTGTAGCGCAGCAGCGAAATGGCGGTGTTAGCGGCCTCGCCGATGTTGTTCTCGCCGCCCATCTTGAGATAGGCGTCACCACGCATCAGCTGCCACTTGCGGGGCTGCACGGCGCTCGGGCCCAGCAGACGGCTCGCCATATCAAGGGCGTGCAGCACCATGGACCCCGTGGTGCCATGGTCGAGGGCGTCACGTGCCGCATTGACATGCTGCAGCATCTCCTTGGCGGAGGCCATGTCCTTGGCCGACGGTGGCGGCTGGATGCGGCCAAAGGTCAAGATGGCGTCCTCGGGTTGGCCGAGGCTGGTGTAGATGCGGGCCAAGCGGAGCAAGATCTTGGGGTTCTGGGGATCAAGGTCGGCGGCGCGCAGGCAGTCCTCCAGGGCGGATGAGTAGTTGCCTGCAGACATGTATGCCGCCGCACGATTGCTCAGGTAGGTGGCAGACTGTGGTACCAAGTTGACGGCTGAATATGTGAGCAAGGGATTGAGATCCAAAACAAGACGCAAATGGAAGAAAAAAGCAAAAGAGATCAATACTACACACCCTTTGTGTATTCGCCAATGGCCGCCATGTAGCTCTTGTCCTTGAAGTACTTGTTACCAAGGTTCTTGAACGTCTCCGCCTCCTCTTCAGGCGTCGGAGCGGGCGTCGTGTGCGGTGGCGGCACGGGCACATCACCGTTGCTGCTGTTGCCGTTCACGGGCACGGTACCATTGGTTGCTGCTGCGGGTGGCGGCGACGAGGCGGAAGGCCGGCCGTTCGACAGCGGTGGTGACTGGGAGCGCTTCTGAGGTGACTGTGAGTTCTGTGGGGGCTTAGGAGAGGACGGGCTGGCGGCACCGGACGTGACGCCAGGCGTTTCACGGTCGGTGTCCATGGAGGTGCGGTTTGACATGGCGGAGAGTAGAGAGAGGCGCTTGCGCTCCTCGGGCGGAAGGTTAAGTGGGTGGGTGTTGGGGTCGATCTTCCGCCGGCGAGACGACGAAGAAGACGAGGACGCAACGTTGTTGGCTGACGAGGACGAGGTCAACGTCGAGCCTGGCTCAGCCGCTCGGTCTCGGTCGTAGTGCCGTGTTGCAGAGGAGGCAGACGAGGTGTGATGCCGCGACGAAGACGACGAAGACGACTTCTTTGGCCGAGGCGAGGCGGCAGACGAGCCCGCGTACGGCTGCTGCGCGGACGGGGAGGAGGACCGGTGCTTGGTGCGGGAGGGCCGTGCAGAGCCGGAGCCGGCTGCGGCGGTTGAGGAAGGCGAAAAGAGCAAGGGAGAGGCCGATGCGGCGGATGTCTTGGCTGGCGATGCTTTGGTGGGCGACGCTGCGGACGCAACTTGTTTGGTGGGAGAGCGACTCGCGGGGGAGGCTGGTTCTGACCGTACCGGCGACGGTAAGTAGTCGTCGTCGTCGTCGTCGTATGGTGGTGCGCCAGCAGAAGCGTTGGCTGTGGGCTTTCGGGAAGTTTTTTTGTTGAAAAACTTCATTGAGGCGGTTGTCAATTTTTGGGGGGCTTTTTTGCCTGGTTTTCCCTTAGTCCCTGCCGAGCCTGGTTCTTAGTGTCACGCCAGCTGTGAGAGTACTCTCTCAGAAGCAAGAGATAGCGGACGAGCAATCTCTCCAGCAGCCTCTTCGCTGTGTCCGCGACTATTTTTCTTCGGTGTTATGAATAATCAGAGTGCGCTAAATTTTGCGTTGCGTCGCACCTACCGCGGGCTGTTCTGGTAGCGAAAAAATTGGCGGAAAGATCGCGCAACGGTAAAAATGCAGTAAACCGGGTTTGTCCACAACTGGTGGTTTGGTGCCCTTTGGGCCGGTTGCACGCCCTTGTGTCTGTAGTCGCTGTGGCTATCCGTCGACGGGCTGTCAGTAGTGCCACTTGAAAACGGGAGCTTGTGAATCCCGACTTTTTGACAGCCGTTGGCGAATTTCGACTTCGGCAGCTATCCGCAGCTCGGAGCACCTTTGGATGTCCGGCAGCCTTTTACAGATTGGGCCGTAGAACCGTTTGTGAAGACGGTTCTCCTGGTCAATGCTGTGGCCGTGCCTTGTTTCCGACGTGTCTTTTTCTCTCTGCGGCGCTTTTTCTCGTGTTTTCGGTGTTGGCAGTGGGTATGTTTACTTTCTGCTGGTTGCGTTTCAACAACAACAGTCTTGTCGAACGGGGCAGTAGAATGGGATTCGAGTAGTGTCGGCTCGAGAGGCGGCGTCGGGAGCAGGATAGCTGGCAGATAGCTGGCGGTCGGAGAGCTTCGCCGTTGGAACTGGCAGCTTGAAGAAAAAGGAGGGAGAGTCGTTGGGACGAGACACGGTTGTCAAGGTGCCTTGGGGAAACGGTGGTGGAGGAGGAGGGATGGGGCAAGCTGGGCTGATCAGGCCAAATTGCATGGCGCAGCCTCGCTGGCAGGCGGCCCTAGGCTGTCTTTTTTGGTTTTGTTTTGTTTTCCGTCGTTTCGCCTGGTGTTGTCTTGGTTGTGAAGGGCTTTTTGTGTCGTTCGGTGATTTTGACAGCCCGTTGAGTGTGTGTCCAGGCCGTTCTTTCCTTTTTTCCGTTTGCCTGCTCTTTCCTTTGCTGGCCCGAGTTCGAATGAAAACAAAAGGAGCCAAAACAGGCTCACAGGCCACAGCTATGCCGCCAAACAAGTCGCTCCAGCTGTGGAAAATCTTACGTTTGCCAGAACACTCTTTTCTGACTGGGATCATACCAAGCAAGCAATCCCGTCACTGGTACTTGTGGGGGCCTGCCGTCTGCCAGGTTGTGCAGGTCACCAGTACGGTAGGTGGAAAACGACCAGAGCAGGGGGCAACGGAGTGAAAGAGGGATGAGCCGAAAGAAAACAATGCTCCATCTCCACTTGACAATAAGAAAGCAACAAGCTGGAACCGAATAAAAGCCAGAATTCACTCCCAGGGTTGCAAGCAATCCCACCACGAACAGAACGGGATGGAACTATTGGGCCGTTCGGGACCGTTGACAGGGACAACACTCGTCCCCTCATTCAGATGACCAGTGCGAGCACAACTTATGGACGATGATAGTTCCCAGTTTCTCTAGAGCGAAGGCAGTCTGAGGCCAATGGGCCTGCCGGGAAAGCATGTCTTGTTTACGACGTACGATATAGACTGGACATTCGAGGAGCGTCGAAAAGCGCCGTCTGAGGATCCACGAGTCAGGATGCAGAGGCTCCTCTCAAACGCGTCACCAAGTCAACGTATTGCGGGGAACGCGGCGTGGCAACAGCCACTGAGATCAATTGCAAGTCGATGGACAAACCCGTCTGCTCGTTGTATACGATGGACGTGTCAATTCAATATTGCCATTGCTCTTGCGCGTCGTTACTATCAAGCTCTTGTGGCTCGGGGCCACAAGACCCTGAATATAGCCTCCCCTGTTATTATACCTACCGTCGATACTCCGTACACAACCACTTCTCCAAAACATACTGCGTCTGTTCTTTGGCCTTGGCGGCCGGCAGATTTACCGGCGTTGAGTCTTCTACCACACGGACGTCAAGCAACGTCTCCCACGCGGTCATCTGTTCTACTATTATCTTGGCAGCCTTCAACAGGTCTCAGTGCCCTCAAGTAAGCCACGTATTACCTGCAGTGTTAAACCGGCAGCAATGCCGTATGTGAACTTACGCTCAAGTTCTACAAGCACGTCGTGTGTCTCAATTGCAAGAGTCTCCTAAACCCAAAACAAACTGCCTTCTCTGCCCAAGTTTGGGACCCATATTCCTGTTAGTGCCGTTGCGGTTGCGCGTTGCGCGGGAACTTACCTGCCCACCCTTCAACTAGGTGCCGACAGCGGCTCGGGTGCCCTGTCAGGGTCGTTGTGGTGGTTGTAGTGGTTGCAGCGGGCGTCCCATTATCGCTATATGCGAGTTTGTCCCGGGATTCGCCAGTGCACCAAAATATGATTCTCGAAGCTTCGGTGGGGCTGTCGCAAATGGCGGGCAACAAAGTAAAAGTTTAATGTGGACCCCGCTGTAAGACCGGTATCAGGCAGAAATTCACCCCTAACGTAACGTTTAGCGCTTCCAAGAGGAACATGGACCCTTTAACGTCACCCTGTATTAATGAACTACGATGCGTCTCTAGCGGCCTTGTCTATTTGGCATCAAGTTCATGAGCCTGTCAACAACAAATAAGTCAAGGCCACGAACAGTATGACATGTCGTTTGTTTTTTGACACGGACCTCCCGAAGGCATTTTCTGTTAATGACGCAAGACAAAAATCATGGGGAGAACAAAGACGTTTCTATATTCCGAACTCCAGACAAATCATCTTACAATTAATATTCTTTCTCTGGCGTACCACAACAGTTCCCACGGCGCTGAGAGCGATCATTCCACAAGAGCACACAATATCACTCGACAGGGGGAGAAGGGGAGCAAACAATACATAGCGTGCTATCAATGTTGCCGTGTGCCTTTCCCGAGCCCATAAAACAAACCCAGAATACCCAATAAGCCCAACACATAACCATGAATAAAAATAGCAGACAGCAGTTGGCACACTGCAAATGCAACTTGGCCCATTCACTCGAGTTTTGGTCACTCGGCCGCCTCGCCGGCCTCGCCTTGGCTGCCCTGGCCGCTGCCCGCGATGGAGTGCACAAGGTCCTGGTACTTGAACACATCGCCGCGCTTGCCGAAGCCGGGGCCTGGCTTGCTCTTGTTTGTAAACGCCCGCCGGCCCATGAATCCCTGCATCACCCGGTTGATCTCCGATTCCGTCAGTGCGGGCTCGCCAGGCTCGGGCGCCGTGTGCAGCAGCGCGTCGCGCAGCTCGGCCGCGTCAATCTCGCCGCTGTCGTCTTCGTCAAAGGCCGACAGCGCAGACAGCAGCTCGGCACTCGGTGACAGGGCGGCAAGGGCCGAGGCCAGCGCGTTCAGAAACGTGCCCATGGTCATGGTCTGCGGAGCACCGGCCGGGAAGAACTGCGACACATCGGACGGCGTCGACGGCAGGCCCAGCTGGTTCAGCATGTCGGCCACGTCGTCTCTACCCACCGAGCCGTCGCTGTCGCGGTCCAGGATCTGAAAGCCCTCGCGCAGCGTGCGGACCTGGGCCGGCTGCAGCTGCGCGAGCGCGGAGCCGTTGCCTGCCGCTAATGACGACGACGCCGCGCCGCCTATTCTGTGTCCACTAATCTCAGCAGCGGGCTGAAGCTGCGAGGAAGGGTTCTGTTGGTTTCTGGGTGTCCAGCTGCCGTTGGTCGGCACGGGTGTTGAGTTGGTGCGCCCGTCATAGCGCGAAGAGTGTGTGGGTGTTGTTTCCAGGCCACTTTTGAGCCCATCGTTGCCGGGTGTGTTTGGGCCCTTGACGGGCGACGTAGTCGGGGTCGTGTGCCGCAACGGCGATGGAGATACGGGCGATTCGGGGCGCCGGAAGGGCGAGCTGCGCGGTGAGCCGTAGCCGAGTGGCGAGGGCTTGTAGCCGGCGGGCATGGCCTGTTTTGTTAGTATATGGCAATTGAAAGAGACGCAGCCAACGGACATCTGTTCTCGTCGCGGTCCTTCCAGGTGTAGTTCGATCGTACCATGATGGCGATAAGTAGTTTGCGAAAAAGAATGAATATTGTTGTCCTCAAAAAGTTCGAGATGTGACCGGAGACGGCGGTATTGTGATTGAAGGAAATGTAATTGTACTGACTCTTGATTTTCGTCGCAGTTATCGATGTCAGATTTCCGTAATGTCGTACAGTTGTCGTTGCAGTTTGTGGTGATCGTTGACTGACAAAGCGTCATTGGTGACAAACGATGCACAGGGGCTCGAATGTAAACAAACAACCCAGCAACGGCTTGTCACCAAAGCCAGTACCGATAAGATAAGGATGTGGCGGGTTTGTGGCGGCCACTGTACGTCGCAGTGTGGCTGACTTGCCGCCAATCGCGCTAAGACGAACCTGGCCCGTGCGTGCCTGCCCCTGGCCCTTGGCGACTTTGCATTTGTGCGGGCCACTTTTCGCCCTTTTCGCAGGGCCTCCTTTTGCGTTTGCCAACGAAGGGACAGGCCAAGGCCTGGTTTCGGATTCGCCAAGCCCACTTTCAACCCCTCTCCACAGCAGGGCGCTACGACATATTGTTACTGGCCCCGACCACGTCGTTATTCGAGCTAGGAGGGACTGGCTCAGGGGAGGGATGCATAAGAGACGAAAGCGAGCAAGAAGACTTCAAGAGGGGAAAGTCTGCGTTTGTGTATAGAACATCGCGAGTTGACGCCAGCTCGACATCAGGAACGTCCACAGACGACAGTCAAAGCGAACATATGAACCAGTGGCGGCCATCGAAAGCCAGACGAGTGGCCGGGCTGTTTCGGATGCATCCAGGTACAGTGGAGAGTGAACGGCTTCACCCAGGCGTCGCTACGTAAGGGAACGACAAGACAAGAGACGACGACAGTCACGGCGCCGTCCTGCCCAAGCTCGAACGGCATATACGGGCCAATTGTCGCAAGTACTTGCCGGTCTTCCACTGGAGCGTGTCTCGTCCCGTGTTGCGAGTCCTTTGTACTGTCTAGCTTCTCTGCTCTGATTTGCCTGGAGACAACTTTGCCCTTTGATCACCACATTTTGTTCACGGTGTCAGCCTGTTCTGATTCCAGGACGCGCGAACACGGGCCGAACGACTTTGCAAAACCCACCAGACTGCAGAACTGCGGCGGCTCGACCGTGTCGTTACGGACGCAACTGCAACCACGCCCACTTTTACGCCCTCGGTTCGCCATACGACTTTCCACACCGTCCGAACATCTAAGACATACTGCTCAATAGGGCGCCTCAGTGCGTGTAAGCTCCTTGGCGATCGCCTGCCCTCTGCGACCCGATCTCACGTTCTCTGCGTGGCGCGCTACGGCCCCCAAACCCCTCCCCCCTTTTCCCGCGTGTGGTACCGGTTCTTTGCGAGCCGCCCTGGGCGGGAGCACGACCCTACTCTACTACGATCTTATCCGCCCTGTGTGACTGCCCTGGGCGTCTGTGAAATAGGCCTGTAGGCGACTCAACAGTCATGGCGACGGCCCAGACCACCGCACCGTACTCTTCGTCCGCCTCGAAACGACGCGGCACCAACGACAGCGTCGGGGGCAGCACGAGCTCCATCTCCACCGCCAGCGGCAGTCCTGTCGCCCAAACCAAAATCCCACGCCGCACCTCGCTCGCTTCTGTCCCCACGCGAGCCGACGCCTCGCCATTGCTCGCCGGCGCCGGCCGACGTCCGTCGTTGTCTCCACAACCTCCCCTCCTGTCACATTCACCAGCATTGCCGCCTTCGCCAGCGCTGCCGCCTGGCAGCGCCCAGTTTGCTGCCATGGCTTCCACCGACCGCACATCCAACCAGAGCAACAAGTCCACCAAGGCGCCCTCGTCCGGCACCGGTGTTTCCTCCTCGCAACACTCCTCCCTCTCCGGTCCCACGGGCGCTGGCGCCGGCGCCGGCGCTGGACAACAACAGCAGAACCGAAGCGGACAACAACGCCGACAGCTGCGATCACAGTATCCGCGCGGCGCGTCGGCCCAGAACCATGTCGAGTATATTCTGGTGGCGTCCTTTGACGTCGACAAAGGTCCCATCATGGAGCACCAATACCCCGTCGCCATTACGGGCGACGAGCACATGCTGGCCGAGCTGATGCTGCCCGACCAGACGCATCTGCGCAACCAGGACTGGACCATGTTCTTCCTGCACAAGGACATTACCCAGGAAGAGGAGGAACAAGAACAGCTCGCCAAGGAGGAGCGCCGGAAGCGGCGGCAGCGACGGCGTGCACGCAGGGCGGGGATCCCGGTCGGAGACGAAGACAAGGAGACTGGCGGCCACGTCGAGGACGATTCGGACGACGAAGACGACGAGGACTGGGACGACGACATGTCGACGGACAGTGAGCCCGAAGGCGGCGAGGGCGCGCCGCTGATCTACGTGCTCAACCTGGTCAACACCAAGCAAGACAAGACACAGCGACGCGGCGCTGTCGTCAAATCCATGGCCATCTGCACGCGGCACCCCTTCCTGCACATATACAAGCCGCTGCTTCTGCTGGCGCTCGAAGAGTACTTCAAGTCGCCCGTCGTCGAGACGCTGTCCATGCTGTACGACGCGGTCAATGCCATGGACTTGTCGCTGATGCCCCGCCTGAGCCTGCTGGAGCGCCACCTCCTGCAGGCGAGCGACAACAAGGACCTGTTTGTCGAAAAGTTTGAAAAGATGATTCAGATGCGCATCGCCGAGGAGAACGGCGACGGCGTCAGCGACCAGCCCTTTGACGCCAGCCGCAGTCCGCCCAAACCGGCTGGCATCCTGCGCGCCGGCACCAAGGCGCACTTTGAGGGCCAGGCCGCCGCGTACTCGGTGCCGCGCGACACCCACGAGTTTGAGAGCAAGGTGTTTTACAAGGGCATCCCCATTCCCATCAAAGTGCCCGTGGCCGTCATGCCGGAGACCGTCGGCGACTTCTCGCTCATCAAGCTGATCCAGAACTTCTCCGAGACCCACGCCAAGGCACCACAGGCCTTTCCCCTGCACGCGCACCTGACGACCAACGGCCCGCACACGCACCCCATCATTGTGCTGGTCAATGCGCTGCTGACGCAGAAGCGCATCATCTTCTTGGGCCACAACATGCCCTCGGGCGACGTGGCGGAGGCGGTGCTGGCGGCGTGCGCGCTGGCATCGGGCGGTGTGCTGCGCGGCTTTACGCGGCACGCCTTCCCCTACACGGACCTGACCAAGATCGACGACTTGCTGCTCGTGCCGGGCTTCATTGCGGGCGTCACCAACCCGACCTTTGAGCTGCACCCCGAATGGTGGGATCTGCTGTGCGACCTGCCGTCGGGCCGCATCAAGATTAGCAGCCGCATTGAGGAGGCGCCCGTCACCGAGGGCCTGGTGTTTTTCAAGCAGCAGCACCCGTCGTGCGCCAATCTCGTGGACACGGCCACCACGGCCAACGTCAGCTCGGCCAACAGCGACCTGACCGGCGACAACGCCTTCATGGCCGACATTCTCAAGAGCGTGGCCGCGCGGCTGGGCGAGCGCGTCATCCGCGCCAAGTGGCGTGACTGGGTCGTCAAGTTTACGCGCATCGCCGCGGCCTTTGAAGAGAGCGTCTACGGCGCGAGCGTGCTGCACATGGGTGGCGGGGGCGGCAGCAGCAGCAGCAACGGCGGCCACAACAACGGCCACAACAACGGCCACAACAACGGCCACGACCCCAACGACAGCAACAGCAACCTCCACGACTTTGAGACGCTCGCCCTCTCGCCCTCCACGACCACGACCGGCACCCCGACGGCCACGTCGCCGCCCACGGCCCTCTCGGCCGCCAACGGCCACGGCTACGTCTGGGCCGACGAGAACGCCAAGCAGCGCGAGCTGGCCGGCAACGCGTCGCGCGTCGAGGGCTGGCGCGTCTCGCGCAGCTACCTGTCGTTTATCAAGGACGTCGCGCAGCTCTACACGGTGCGGCCGCTCAAGGGCTACGACCTGCACCACATGCACGACCGCCTGCGCACGCAGCGCCTGACGCCGACGCTGAGCCGCGACATCTTCTTGACGTTTGCGCGCACCGTGCACTCGTACGACGAGATCTGCCTGCTGCTGTCGGTGGCGCCCGAGGCGCACGGCGGCCTCTTTTACGTCGCCCTCGGCCTCTTCCACAAGGACCGCGACGTGCGCACCAAGACGACGGAGCTGCTCGAGCGCGTGGCCGAGCACGAGGCCGGGCAGCACTGGTGGCGGGGTCTCAGCCGCTTCGAGATGCTGGCGTTTGCGCGCATCCGGCGCGAGGCCGAGGCGGAGGCGCGCACCAAGCTGGACAACAATGCAGGCGGTCCTGGCGGAGGAGGAGGTGGTGGGGGTGGTGGTGGTGGTGGTGGTGGTGGTGGTGGTGGCGGTCGCGACCGGGCCATTACACCCATTACGGGCAACCTGCCACCGGGCGTCGTCGTCGGCGAGAAGCGGGCCAGCTAGGTGCGGTCACGTCTTGTTTCGAAGCCCGCAGAGGCGGACGGCTCTACATGCACACAGGCCTGGACATAAAACGAGGTCGGCCATCGTCTGTCCAGCAGGCCCTTTTCTACAACCTACCTCTCTCAGCTCTCCCAGTCTGTGTCGCTGTCTTCGTTCACGTCGCTGCGATCCGTTTCTTCGACCCGCTCGTCCGCCTCGTCTGTTGTCCGTGGGTGGCGTTCGTCTTCGTGATTGCTGGCGCTTGCGAGTCTTTTTGTTTCTATTGTGTTGCCGTTCTTTTTCTTTGGCACCTACGTTTTGATGTCTGATGTCTGACATATGTTCTGTACGTATTTTCACATTCATTTGATAGTATCGAATTTTTACGGGGCTGTATTACACCAGCGGATATCCTATTCATTCAGTACCGTTTGGTGTCGATAGTTGGCATTTCCACCGTTCACAACAAGGCGAGCTGGCCACAATCAGACGAGCCTTTCCTCGCCTCCCTTACGCCAGCAGGTACTTGGCCGCGTGGTCGACGTGGTCCTGGCCAAACGTCGAGATAAAGTAGTACGAGTGGTCGTAGTCCTTTTGGTACCGCAGCGTCAGGCCCGTCAGGCCGGCCTTGTTGACCGCGGCCTCCAGGTTCTCCGGCAGCAGCTGCTTGTCGGCGTAAAACTTGTCGCCCGTGCCCACGTCCACCAGCATCTTGAGGTCGCCGTGGGTCCACGTGCCCACCAGCTCGGTCGCGTCGTGCTCCTTCCAGGCCGCCGGGATCGTGCTGTCGGACGCCGACTCGGGCGTAATCGCAAGATCCGCCGGGCCCAGGTAGCCCTTGAACGCCTTCTGGCCCCAGGGGCAGCGCGTGGGATTGGCGATGGGCGCAAACGCCGAGACCGACCGGTAGCGGCCCGGGTGGCGCAGGTACAGCGTCAGGGCGCCGTGCCCGCCCATGGAGTGGCCCGTGATGGACTGGCGGTCGCCGTCGAGCTGCGTCGGGAAGGCGTCCGCCAAGAGAGCGGGCAGCTCCTGCGTCAGGTACCTCTCCATGCGGTAGTGGGCGCTGTACGGCGAGCTCGCGTCGGCGTCGAGGTAAAAGGAGGCGGCCTCGCCAAAGTCCCAGCTGTCATGCTCCTGGGGCAAGTCCAGGCCGCGCGGAGACGTGTCCGGATAGACAATGGCGATGCCGTGGCGCGCGGCGGCTGCGTGCAGGAAGCCCTTTTCGGAGCCGTTCTCGGGGCTGCAGGTGAGGCCCGCCAGATAGTAGAGGACGGGCGCCTTTGTCGTGGCAGCAGCAGCGTCGGCGACCGGGCCAGGGAGGAAGACATTGACGTTCATGTCGGTGCCGGTCGTCTTGGAGGCGTGGGACAGCTTGAGCAGCTTGCCGCCAAAGGTGGCGATCGTGGCCTTGGTGGTGAATGCCATGGTGATTGGTTTGGTGTGATGGATGGAGCTTCAGGTTGTGACGTCAATTGAGACGGATAGGATCGAGAAGCAATGAACAGTCGAGGAGAAGGCAGCGTCCCGTTTTGAAGGAGGTGGACGACCGGCTTTATTCGCCCGGCGCGGAGAAAGCGCCCGCTGGCCAGGTGCGGTCACTGATAGCTGGTCCAGGGCTTAGGTGCCGTTTTGGGCCCTCTTTTGGCGCTGCTGTGCTCCAACTTGCCGATACAACCCCGAGAAACGGGCGGCAGCCGCAACCCCGCCCTGGCAGGCCTGCAAGGCGCTGTACGATTAGCACTCTGCAGTGCAGGATAAATAATGTGCACAATGTAGAGCCAAGCATGATGTCAGGCACTTGAAGCTCGAAATCAACACTGCCGATTGGTTAACATCACAACTGATCATGATTGTGAATAAGTGCGCCGTACAGTTTGATGATACTCAATGCATTGGAGGAGGCTAGGACGCCGTACATGCTAAACAAATATGTCCTACGAAATAAACGGATAATATACAGTGGTATTTACAAATGCCATCCCTCCCCTTCCACCTTGTCCCCATTCGCATCCTGCTTTGCTTCACTGCTCTTCTGTCTCGACGGTCGTGGTTGTCGTCTTGGTAAAGCAGCGGAACGACGCGACGCCGGCCCAGCTCACGGCGCTCAGGTTGTACTTGTGCTCGTAGTCAAAGTCGATGGCGCCCAGCGTGCAGCCCTCGGGCGAGGTGCAGATGCCGCCGCAGGGCATGCCGTAGGGGTAGCAGGCAAAGGCCTCGCCGTCGGGCGCGAACGTGTTGGTGTTGCCCAAGAAGGGCGTCGTGATGTTGACGCAGGTGTCGAGGGGATAGACGCTGTGGTTGCAGGTGCCGGTGGCATTGGCGCCCGTGCAGAGCAGGATCTACAGACATTGTTAGGTGTGTCCAGTTTCATCCAACGTTCTTCCGTGGAGAAGGGGGCGTACTCCTCCAGCTTCCCGCTTGGCAATAGGCGAGGCGGCAGCCAGGGTGGCAGCAGCGAGGACGGCAAACGACTTCATGATGGCGATATACGTGCGGCTGGAGATGACGATGTCGGTATGCGTGGTGGCGACAGTATGTGTGCCGTAGATTGTGGATTGAGTGGGATCGTCTTCCCCGGGTTCACGGTTTGGAGATATATTGATTCAAGTGTAAAAATGATGTAGAAAGGTGGAGGCTGGATTGAAGCTCTAGCGTTAGAAACAAGGCAATGAATGGACTGTAGATGAGAAACAGAAACATCAAAGAATAATGTGGCGTGCCTCGAATATATATGCACGTCGTGCTCCCTCGTGCGAGCCATTGTACGCCGTCCTCTTGTATCTTGACGGAGGGATGACTAGTACTCACTCACCGGCACTTCGTGGGCGTTTGGCGTTGTCTCTCCTCGACCAAGGCGGGCCGCCAAGACGCAGGGCTCGTCATTGTTTGCTACCTGTCGCTGCAGTCATGTTTTCCCTCCGTTCTTTTTTTGTCTCTAAACCACAGAGTGCCGATCGCCAGGAGGGAGTGAGCACGGCAGGGAACAACGAACCGGGGGCCGCAAGGGCGAGTGGCCAGTGACAGGACCGTGCGGTTCCTGGCGAATGGCAAGACGCAGAACCTCTCAAAATCCGGATCCTGCGCGATGCTGCATACGGCATACGAGAAAACTTGTGGAGGCCATACTCTGTGCCACAATGCATCGTCGTGCGTATGAGAGCAACGTCGTGGCACGGTGCAGGCACGGAAAGAGAGGCACACGGGAGCATATGACTCGGGGATACGAGCCACGTACGAGTCGATAAAGCAGCCATCGCATCACCTGGTGGGATTGGTGGGCCTACGAGGCATATCGGCCGTTGAGAAAGACTGCACTGCCACGCATATCCTTCCACTGGGTCGGGTGTAATGTTACAATGAAAGGCACACAAGCTCCCCCATAACAAAAAGAGACAAGGACCAAAGAGCAGATCGTGTCTAGTGTCCCAGGGCAGGAGGGCAGATAAAAAGAAGAGGCAGTTCTGACAACTGAGGAGTTGAAATAAGATGTGAAAAGGGCGGCAATGGCCCTGCGACCAAGGCAAAGCAGAGACACATACATGAGCTAATGGCCCCAAAGAGGAAATTTCCATTGCAACTCGGTTAGTGCCAAGAGAGCGATCGGGCTGGCTTGGACACGCAAAACGACCTGCCGACGTCATACGGTGTCAGCGTACCGTTCGCCTACGAAATTCCCTTTGTTTCAAACAGCATTCTTTTATTTTCGACACATACGGTCGCTGGGATCGCCTGTCATTTTCCACTTGTCTCTGGAGACCTTTGTAAGGACGCTCTACAAAACTACTCTCTCCGCATACATTGTAAGGAGGCAGAGAGGCAGACAGTCCTTGATGCTTTCAGACATTGTGTTGTTTTCTCGTAACTCGGTTTGTTCACTAGCTTTTCCAGTGAATTGCGGCAAGTCTCCAAAATCACTCTTTTACGACCCCCTTGGCTCATCCAGCTGACCCGAACTGATACGCCATGGGGGAGTTGCCACGGCCTTGTTTTCGTGCTGGTGCTTTTCCAGTTGGCTATTCTCACAGGTCGTCACCCATGCTGTCAGACCAGCGTGACTGTGCAAATAGCGCCTGTAATGCGCTACTACAAATACGGCAAGAAACGAAGCACATCAACAACACACAAAACGTCACATCCAAATCGTGGACCAACGAGGAGCAGGTATCCCCCTCCCCGATATAAATAAACTCTGACAGCTCGTGTTCACGACTCCTGTATCTGACAGGGGTACGACAAAGTCGGTACATCAGCTTGCAACACGAAGAGATCGTCCCCAGCAGGCCCGATCATACATTGGGGACAGTGGCGATGGTCATGAACGATGAAGACGAAGCAGCTACAGAAAGTGACGTCTGGACACTACGCTCAGCAGCCCGGCAATAATTTACCTGAGCACTGCCTCTCGGCGACGACCAACGGGACCAAATTGCGACCGCCTGTTCCCGTATTCCGTATTCCGTATTCCGTATTCTGTATCCGCATTTCCGTTTTCCCTCACCTTTTCATACGTGTCGTCATTTTGTGAAAAGCAACAAATTGTATTATTTTAGCTAGCTAGACATCGCCCTGAACCGCCTACACAGACAAGATGGCCACAAATACGACCTACTACATGCGAGATGCGATATACGCAATGATGGCGTCCAGATTGCCAAAACACGTGAGCAAATGGAAAGGACCTGTCTGTCTACATCCGACTCGACTCCGACCTAGACTCTGTCGTCGTCATTCCCATCGTCTTTTGAAATCCTCCTCACCTCCATCCTGAGTGTTCTTCCAAAGCAACTTGGCTCGTGAAAACCCCTCTTCGTACGGCGCGTCTTCCTTTTTGATCTACCAGAATTCCGTGTCAGCCCGTGTCTTCATGTTGTTGACAGAAGGCATACGGTTGCTGTTCTTCAACCCTGACAAGGTCGCGTTCGAGGAGGCCGCCGCGGGAACCGAGACCAAGTCTTGCAGGAGCTGTTCGTGGAACCGGCTGCGGGAGATGGACTCTTTGCCGTGCGCCAAGTTGTACTTCATCCCGGCAATCGGAGCGGACATTAGCGATCCCACCGCATGCGCGGTCGGCGGAACGACTTGCTGGATAATGGGCTGCATGATCGGCTGCACATCAGCCTGCACAACACCCTGCACCTTGGCCTTCTGTTGAGTATGTCCGTTGCCGGACAGCCCAATGTTCTGGACAGCACCGCCCAAGTTGGCTTCGCCGGTCGGCGTGGGCGTGCAGCGACGGTAGAATACCATGTGCTTCACGGCATATGGTCCCTTGCCGGACCACTTGATGGTCTCGACCGGTTTGCCAAAGTACTCGAAGCCAAACTTTGTGGTCAACGATTCAACGTATTTCTTCTCCGCCAGCCCGTCTGCGCTGCCGCAAGCAACATTCATGTAGATGTAGTGAGGCGCTGGCAGTGGCCCGAACGTCGAAACGTCGATTGTCTTCGCCAGGACTCTGCGCAGAAGCTCTTGGCCAAGACCCCGGTTGCGATACTTGGGCAACACGAAAACGCTGCACTCCGCACAGAGCGTGGTCGCCGCCTCGCCAAAGCCCACACCCAGGCGCGGGTGGACAAGGGCAAAGCCGATGACTTGCTCGTCATCCTTGTCGTTGAGGAGTGCCACAAGAGAGGGAGACTTGGTATTCAGACCCGCCTTATAGAGCCGGCGGATGTCTTCCGAAGTGGCCGGATCACAACCGAGCCCCTGGACACCGTTCGCAACCTCTTCATTATAAACATACCGTATGCCTTCGATGTGTCGGTCACCGGCCGCCACAATCTGCGCGTACATCGAGGGAAAGGGCTCGCCGGGAGCAGAAGAGAGCTCAGGCACGGGCTTAGGCTCGGGGTGCTCAGGCTGGGCTTGAGGCTGAGGCGCAGGCTGATGTTTAGTCTGGAGTTGGGCCTGGGGCTGAATCTTCTGCGTAGACGGGGTCACAGGGACCTTGACTTGCTTGTCAGTCTCAAACGTGACAGTGGGCTTTTTCTTCTGAATTGTCACCGTTTGCTTGCAGACACCGGCATCTTGAATGGGCTGCTGAGACACGTGCACAAATCGTGTCTCACGCTCGACCAGTGGCGCTCGCTTTGGAGGATCGGGATCAGATGCACGGATGGCAATGCCCTTGCTCGGAAGACCACAAGATGTGTTGGCGGTCTGCGTCGCAGCCCGCTCGTCCAGGTCCTTGTCACCCGTCGGCGCCGGATCGAGCCGCGTCTCGGGGGCCTGGGGCGGAGGCAGCAGCTGCGTCGTCACAGAGTCCGGCACGGTATCGTATGCCACCCATGTCTGGAACTCTTCCTCATTCAGGGGGTTTGTCTTATGAATTGTGGCAAGCCATCCCTTGACGCAGTGACGAAAGTCGGTCTCGGAAGGGAAGAGATGCATAGCCCGCCGCGTCCAGAGACCGCCCGTGGACGCAGACGACGTACCCTTCCAGGCGGGATCATCAGCTTCAATGCAAATAGCGCCATCGGCAGAGACGCTGTCACTGGGCACAATCTCCTCGTTCTCAGTTGTCTCCTTTTTGTCATGCGCCCTCCCCTTGCCCTTGCCAGCACTGGCCTCCAGCAGCAGAGTGTCTTGCTTGCTGAATTCCTCGGCCGCAGCAGCCAACGAGTCACTGGTTAGCTCCAGACGGCGTCTCTGTTGTTCGAGTGGCTTCTGCACAATGATACCCAGAGGGGAGCTCGTCGACAGGTCGTGAGGGTACTTTGTGGAAGCGAGACGCGCCTCTCTGTTCCAGAAAGTCGCCAAATTAGCGACGCCGTCCCCTTGTGTCGCGTCCATGCTCGATGCGACAATTGTTGATGACAAGCACGCTCAGTCTTGGAAATGTGTTAGAGACCTTAAATACGCAGTGTCTCCGTAAAATCACAACACATTATCTTACCTAACTGGACGCGTCCGGGTGGTGACCGGTATAAAAATCGTTGCACGTAGAAATGACAGTCAAACAAGGGGTAATCCACAACACATTCAGAATAATAACAACGAAAACCAAGGAACAACCAAAAATACAGAAACGTAACAGAAGATGAGAAGGGGCACGATGTTGGAGGCGGTTACCGAAATAGGAAACCACGCGTATAGTGACTGTATAGGGAAGGAACGACTGAGGCTACTTACTTCTTGGTGTTGGCTGGCCAGGAAACGGTGAATGTGAGCTTGTGAACGTTAGTTTTGTTGTACGATAAAGTTTCGTCCGTCCTTGTACGGGATATTTGTAACTGTGCCCATCTTGACGTATTGTTTGATGACATATGTTGGTAGCTCGTGAATGAATTATGTACGTGAATTTTGACATGGCAATTATGAGTAAAGTCGAATTTTGCCTTTTCCATTTTTATCATCCTTTTTTACCCTTATTTTATTCGTTTTTAACATTAAGCAGACAAAAAACCTCCCGGTACATTAATCAGAAATATAACTATGAGTTACCGTCAAAATTCTAGGAAAAGGTTCCAAGTAAGCTACCTCGATGGTAAAAGTGCGAGTATGTGTAAATAACTGAATTTATACGCATGGCTAGCTAAATGACTAATCATGGAAACAGCGCCAAGATGTGGTTCTTTGCATCGCGGCTGCCAACCCAATCGATAGTGGCCCATTGGCGGCAGCCTAATGATCGAGCATATGCGCGACAGCTTTTATACTGAGATTGTTCTTCCTTCGGCCCTCTCCATGGCCGTGGCGAGCAGTTCTCTCCACCACTATCTGTTACGATGTTGTCGATTTTGAGGAAAGCGAGGCTCAAGGACAAGGAGCTGAGGATCCTGATGCTGTTCGTGCCCCTTTTTGCTAGCCTGCGTCTTGAAGCTCTTAACGCTCTTTGAAGCTCTTTTGGTACTCCGAACCAACACTTGTGCTCCTAACTCGTTTTGATTACCTCCAGTGGCCTCGACAATGCCGGAAAGACGACGATTGTCAAGCAAATCATGGGCGAGGACGTGCACACGGTCAGCCCGACGCTCGGCTTCATCATCAAGACCATTGACTACGAGGGCTACAAGCTGAACATCTGTGAGTATCCCTTTTGGCTTTCGTGACTGCTGTCTGCCTGGAGACCGACAACTGAACTTGGCAGGGGATGTGGGCGGCCAAAAGACGCTGCGATCGTACTGGCGCAACTACTTTGAACGAACCGACGCGCTCATCTGGGTCGTCGACGCCACGGACCGGCTGCGCATCGACGACTGCCGCAACGAGCTGCACGGCCTGCTCCAGGAAGAGGTGTGTGGAAGGCACATGTGGGCCCATGCTGTGATTACGCAGTCGCTGACAAAGGCAGAGGCTGTCCGGAGCCAGCTTGCTGGTCTTTGCGAACAAGACGGATGTCCAGGGATGCATGGACGGCGCCGAGATTCTTGACGTGAGTTCTCATTACGAGCATCGCCATCACCGCCCCCTTTGGCTTGGCCAGTTGCGACTTTGATCGACAGACTCCCCGACTGACTGCAGTTTTGCGCGGACTAGGCCCTGAAACTCGACGAGATCCGCACACATCGCTGGCACATTTTGCGGTGCAGCGCCATGACCGGCGTCAACCTGAAAGAGGGCCTGGCGTGGGTGGTCGAAGACGCAAAGGCACGCCTGTTTCTGTACTGAGTGCCAGACGTGCAACCTCCACCCAGTCTTCCACTTCCGAATGGCCCTTTCGCCCCTGTGCTCTGTGCTCTTCCGCGCCTGGAAACATGGACGGTCCCTGCATGTTGATCACACGATACGGCGCTGCAGGCGCTCCTGGCAGACCGCTCAACGGCACAATCACGCACGGCCCCGGACACCATTCGCACTGTTCATCGCACACGCGTTTTAAATAAGATAGCCGTTGCACTACGAATTACAGCGCGTGAGATATGTGCAGGAAGTGCAGTTACAGTGTCTTGGAATTAGTTTTGTGCTGTCTCTGTCTCATGTGCGCCCAGGGGCAAAATGTCTCACAAACAGCGTACTCTGCCCTGGGACGACAGGTACGAGGATGGCAGGGAAATCTAGAATTGTCCAGAATTAAAAAAATTTTTTTTTAAAAAAATAACCAGACTGCTATGATTTTTCCCTTTTTCTCGTGTTTGTGTACTTCTTTCGGTGCCTGATATATTGCCCACTGTAAAACAGGGATACAGCGAAATATTGCGACAGGCTGCGCCTAGACCTCAACACGTTAGAATGCGCTAATGGGGCACAGCGGGGCGAGGAACAGCGAATCGCAGCGCGTTGGGCGCGCCGACATCTCAGTTCTGGCCTGGCTGCCGCCCAGCCGAATGACGCTACTATGCAACTGCGGAGTCTCTGTAAACACCCAAACCCGCAAACTCGCTTCTGATTAGCGGGCTACTTCTAGAGTAAACAGAGGGCAAGACGCTACTGTTGACCCCGTAACACCTCGACTTTGGTGGCTTCCCGAGCGAGTGTTTTTCTGAGTTTCCGTGACATTTGAACAAAACATATCTTAGTCACCAAGCGCCCCCGTGCCATCGTGACTTTCGCGCCTGTTCCCGCTTCTCGCGATTTGGCTGTCAAGTGTCAACGCGGAATCCGCTGTTTCAATCATTGACGCCGGCAGCCCCACGACAGTCCAATTGCTCAACCGACTTTGGGCATGTTTCTATCTCGACACAGGCCAAACAGCTACCCTGCCTCACCCTCCCACGCTCTTTTGATCGATTTGCCCCCGTCAACGTCACATTTCAGCCGCTGTTGTTGCTTCGTCCCTTCTGTTTCTCCTTGTCTCGAAACAGCGAAACGGCCCGGGTATCAGCGTGTCATGTCTACGGGCTCGCCTCGTGCCGGATGAACAGACTACCAGGCGCATTGGCCACACCCAGACTTGAGCACACGCAGCAGCAGCCACTCACACAACGGAACAGCCCCCGAGTGAAGTATAACAATGTCGGACGAGGTGTCCAACTTCTTGCGCTCGGTGGAGCAGCTCAAGGATCGCCGGCTTGAGGAAGACGAGGCGCGGTCACGCGAGTTGGAGGAGCGCATTCTGCAGGACAAGCGAGAGCGCCAGGCGCGACGTGCAGGTGAGTTTCTTTTGTCCGGTCGGCCGCTCCTTGTTGCATCTGGGCATTGGCAGTGGTGGGCAGATGAACCGTTTTGGCGATGCACATCATGGCGATCTGTCATGGAGGCGCCCCTTCCCTGTCTGTTCCACGCCAGGCATAGGGTGGTTGTATCGCTCTTGCCGTCTGGCTGCCATGCTGCACCGGCCGCTCTTTCCATGGTTTTCTCTGCCCCCGTCCTTCCTCGCCGTGTCTAATACTCTCCAGAACGAGCCAGATCCATCTCTCCCCAGAAATCGTCGCCTGCCAACACTCCACCACCGCCGTCTTCCCACCACCGCTACAACAGCTCCCAAACATCGGATGCTTTGAAACTCTCCTCCTCGCCTCCCGTGCTCGGCAGCCCGCGGAGCCCCACACCTCGTGCCTCCCAGCAGCAGAGCAACGGCCACGGCGTATCGAGCAGCAGTGCCGCCTTGGCCTCGGCACTCGACTACTCTGCACCCTCTTCGTCCGGCTCGTTTGTGGCCTCGTCGTCTCCCACCAAGGAAAACGAGTCACCCTTCGATGCCGACGCCAAGACATTGGCCGGCTCGACCATTGCACGGACTCCGACGCTCTCGTGGCAGCAGAGACGGCCGCCGTCAAGCGGCCAAGCTGGCCCTGACCGGTCATCCCGCAGCCGTCCGCTCTCCGTTGTTGCGGCTGAAAACGCGGCAGCTCGTTCGACCATTGCCGGCTCGTCCAGCCTCCATGCTGCTGGTGGAAACCCGCCGGTCTCGCCCGAAGCTCAGAACACCGACACCAACGCCAGTGACGCGCCCATCTCGCGCGACCAGATCGCCCAGGCTCTTTCTGCCAAGGACCCGTCTTGGTTCCGTCAGACTGCCGACCGTGGCGCCAACTCAGCTGCCTACCGCCGCTCGCAAGTCGAGGACGAGGACCGCCAAGATCTGCACGCTGCCAGTGCCCGGCTCCCGGGCTTGAGCCGTGGCCCGTCTGCCGAGCCCGACGCCAGTGGGTTCTCGCCACCGCCGCCTGCGCACTCGGCTGCTGTATCTGCTCTGTCGCCCTCGTTGCAGGCTAGTATCGCCAGGAAGACAAGCCCGTCTCTGCCCTGGACGCCCACGCAGAAGCTCGACCCACCACAGGAGCCGTCCATTGTGTCGCCACGGGACTCAATTGTATCGCCGCCGTCGGGGCGGACGTCTCCCATTCGGCCGCTGTCGCCGACGAAGGGTGCTGGCGGCTTTGTGCAGAGTGCTATGATGAAGCGGAGTGACAGTGTGAAACGCTGGAGTGTCACATCCCCGCCCGGCCTGCAACGGGCTGATTCCATTGCATCGAGCCGTGCTGCTCTCGACGGACCCCGCCGCTCTGCCACCACCGCCCAGACAAGACCGACGTCCCGCCCGACCTCGAGCCACGGACGGGACTCTGCCAACAACAGCCGTCCGTCCACACCCACCCGGCTGCAGACAAGTTTCCCCGACGAAGCGACGAAGGAGACAACCACGGCAGAAGAGGATAAGAAGGTGACACCGCCTTCGAGCCCATCCAAGACCATGGATCCGCGCCGCTGGAGTCCGACCAAGACGTCGAGCTGGCTGGACGCCGCGCTCAACAAGCCCGAGTCGCCCAAGCCTAAGGCCGCGCCGCCACTCAACAACCAACCTGCCTGGATGGTGGAGCTGAACAAGGCCAAGGCAAACAAGGCGAGCAACCCAGGTGCCGCCGACGCCACTGTCACACCGCCGCCTGTCGTACGGAAGCATGAGGTCAAGACCGGCGGCCTTTTGCGGTCAGGGCCCATGGGCACCGGTGCCGCGAATGCCACGCCTTCCCCGGCAGCTGCGCCCTTGGGCGGGCGTAGTGGACTGGGCATCTCCCTGCACACTCCGTCGTCGTCCATCAGCAGCGTCACTAATAAACCGTCCCTATCCAAAGAGGGTGCCCCGCCCAAGGGTGATCTCCGTGCGGCCCTGAAGCCGAGACAGCCGCTGCCTTCCGAGAAGAAGGATAAGGATGCCGGCAGCAACGACGGCAGTGAGCTGAAGAACGTCGTTGGTGCCCTCCGCCGGACCAAGACCCAAAACTACGTGGCGCCCAATGTGCTCAAGGACAACATTACGCGAGGCAAGGCTGGCCTAAACGTGACGGGCGGTCCCAAGCCGCGCGAGAAGAAGGACGAGCTCAAGGACGCCATCATGCAGAAGAAGGCTGACTTCAACCAGGCCAAGTCTGAGGGCCGTGGCATTGCGACCAACGCGCACGCCCGTGACAGCAACGAGCCTGTGCCAGAAGGGGTCGCCAAACGACTGGTGCTCAATAAGACGGGCGGTTCCCAGACCTCGACGACCCGGCGCGATTCGTCTCCCTCCAAGGCTGCAGCCGATGCGGCAGCTCGCTCTGTCGCCGCTTCTTTGGCCGCGGCCGCCTCTTCCGAAGCACCAGGCAGTTTTAGCCGCTCTAGCACGGCATCTACACTGTCTGGGTCGGGTACAACGGAAGTTCCCGAAACAACCACAGACACGTCGCCTCCGGTTAAGAACTTTGGTTCCATTGGTCGTGCTGGTCCCCGGATAGGCGGGCTTGGCAGTCCCGGCGGGGGTAGTGGTATTGGAGGCGGCAGTGCCCTCGCCAACCGTTTCAATCCAGCCCTGGCTGGTATCTTGGCCCGTGGACACCCCGGCATGTCGTCTGCTGGCAGCTCGCCCAGCGACGACGCTGCAGGAACATCGCCCACTTCTGGTCGGGTGACTTCGCCTCCGGCTTCATCGTCGACCACCGACCCGCCACCCGGCCCCGGCCCGCAGCTAACGCATATGACTAAGAACCGTGCCCGTGGCCCGCGCCGGAAGGCTCCGTCCAGCTTGCAACAGCCGTCAACGCCATCACATTCGGCATCCATACCGGCAGAAGAAACTCCAGAGACGCGAGCCGTCACGACTCCCACGAAGGTCCCCCCACCGACCACCCCCAAAAAGGCAGACATTGTCGTGCCGCAGGTGATTACTCTGGTCGACTCCTCCTCGAAGAAGACAGCCCCAGAACCAGCACAGAAGCCAGCGAGCGTACGCGGTAGCCCCGTGATCTCGCTTACCGATTCTTCCAAGGCAAAAGCGGCGGCTGAGGACGGCCCGACGCCCTCCAGGGCGAACGTCATCTCTCTGGTCGACTCGTCGAAAAAGTCGCCGAGCCCGGCATCTTTCGGATCGTTTGGCACACCCGCCAAGATACACGAACAGGTGGCGTCCGTTGCTGCGAGGCACGGCAGCAGCCAACCTTTCAAACCTGCGGTGGGCAACAAGCCTGTTGTCGAGAGCAAGCCTGCTGCGTTTGAAAAGACGGCCACCGAGGAGCAGGCGCCAGCTGTTTCTCAGCCTTCGTCTCCCCGCAAGATTGACGTGAAGAGAATGTCGAAATTCCTCGAGGACTCTGCCAACCGGCCGCCTGCGGTCAGCCAACCGGTTGAGGTCCCGCGCCCCTTGTCGCCGTCCAAGACGGGCGGTGCGCGGCCGCTGCCTGTACCCCGGCCACTGTCGCCCCAGAAGACCGGCGGCAGTGCTCGTCCGCTGCCCGTCGCACCGGTGTCGCCCA